CGTTTTACAACGAGCTAACAGAATCTTTTACAAATGTAGTACATAAATTCTTGTTTTAGATATTTTATATTGTTATTGCAAATTAATATTCCTTCAAACACAAATAACAACATGTTTTAACATTTTACATAGAACCGATATGTAATGATCTTAGTGATATTTTTAGTTGACTACTCTATTGAACTGTATTTGTAAACTACTTAAAGACTTGGGCCTGTCCAGAACTCACATTAATTCATTCTTGAAACGTCCTTCGACTTCAGCCCTAGTAGGAACTTTTCCAATTTGGTTAGGTAAAGAGAGGAGCTTGGATAGTGGAGGTGAACGTTTAATGCGTTAAGGGTGTTCTGTAGAAAACACATTTTTGTGCTTCTTAAGAACTAATACTCGAAAATCTGATTAATTATTTAAGTTACATTAGATGTAACCTGTGACAATATTTATTGTAATGGATATATAATAATAATAAAACAAGAATTATATGAAAATATTATGAACACTACTAAAAATAAATAAAGGGAAAGCGACCGTAATAATTGTTAATATTGAGTATGATAAAAAATAACTGAAATTCTTGCAGATAATTCCATTTATAAAAAAGTTTATAAAGAGCCGACTACTGGCAGACCCTGGCTAAAGCTGGGAAATTGCCAGGAAGAAGAGAAGAAAGAGCCGACTAGTAAAGTACTTATAGAAACCAATATCTTAATAAATAAAGATGTTAAAAATATATATTTAGATATCAAATCATTCGTACTATCGTGTGTAAAACCATTAAAATTGTATTAGTTACCCAAAGTCCATAAAAAAGAATTAACTATTGCCCTATTAATTTACTGACTCTTAATCTGGCTAAATTTCTTTCAAATATATTATCACCAGTCGGCACTCCGTGGTCACTAACAATTATTTGTTAGGGATTCCTATCACTTTGTCAATGATATAAAACATGTAAAATTTAGAAACAATAACATAATGGTAAGTTTTGATTTAAAGTCATTATTTCCTAGTTTCTCTGTTCTTGACTGTATTGAGATTGTAGGAGGTAGGTTAAAGGATAACAATATGCCTGTAAAATATATTGAGCTCATTAAAAATATAAAATCCCATGTCCGTGAAGACCTTGAGAAACAGTTTGCGCGCTCTGCAGGCATTCAGACACATATGTATGCATCTCGTCTGCTTGGGATCATGGTTGCTGCAAAGTAACCAAAAGTCGAGATTAAGTATGTCGTTAAAAATAATTATAAACGCCTAGTAAATTCCAAAAATATTTGTTTATTTCAATAAATACTCGCGAAAGTCCTGGATTTCATTATAACATATAAGTTGACAACGTTCGGACTAGTTAAAAATATTTACTGTCGACTTTTAACGGAAAAGGAAAAAGAATTTTGACGTCACAATTTTTATTATTTTTGATCATATATATTTCTGAATATTCAAACATATTTGCGCAAGAATATTGTTTATTTTACAGTATCCGTTGTTAATATGTAATATGATCCGTGACCAATAATTTATAGTAAATGATTCCCAGCGAGATATTTCTGTCTTAAATATAATTTACATCGAAGATTTCCTTGAACTTGACTATATTTTAATTCAGTAATACCTATTTATTCAGTATTAATGAGTCCGTCTCGAACATTATGTTTGGAGTGAAGTTGTTATTATATCATATTATTTCAGATTAAAGACATTTGGAGCTAAAATGAAATCCGTTGAACTCGTTAATATATCACTAATAGATTAAAATAAATATATCAGCATAGAAAATAAGCATAAAATAATCTGAATTAAAAAAATAATTAATTCACAATAAATTTTAAAGCTGTGCAAAAACAAAATAATGGCGTGGAATAGGGTAAATGTGGGATAGTTGCCACACTTTTTGAAATAGGCAAATAAGTGATAGAATATGAGTTTTCATAAAAATTTAATGATTGTGATGTGTTGTGTACTTATTAATGAAATACTTAATTAAAGTAATTTAACATTAGTAGTTGTATTTTTTTTGGTACAAAAGAAATAAAAAAGTATTATAATCGGGGATAGATGCCTAAAGTGTGGGTTAGATGCCATAATGATGATTTCGCTTTTTTTTTTTTTTTTTTTTTTTTTTTTTTTTTTTTTTTTTTGTTATCGCGGTGAAAGGTTTTATACCTACCCCTCCGTCTAGGGGAGACAGAGGCGGTTATGTGGGATTCACGGCCAGAAGGGCCCATGTTACCCACTAAAACACCAGCGGTCACTCTCCGTTGCCGCCAAGTGGATCGCCACGGGAAACGCCGAAGCATGCATCCGCGAGGATCCGGCGACGGGCCGCGAACGGCCACCTTCCCCCCCGAGGGCTCACTCCAAGTGACCAGGAGTGTCCCCCCGCCTGGCGGGCTTGCTTAATCGCGAGAGGGTTAACCCCTTACCCCTCCCACCCAAGCCCACGCGGCCAGTCTCCAACCACCCACCGACGAGCGCAAGCGCCCGACGGCAGACAGAGAGGAAACCGACCGACCACAAGCGAACTCAGGCCTCCGGAGAGACCCGAGTATCCCCTCCCCCCCAAGACAGCCACGGACGGCCTCCTGCCAGATCCGTGACCGTCTTACTCCCAGGGCTGTACCCCCAGCCCTCCCCCCCGTGACTGATTGCACCGGAATACACCAGTGGGCGATGGGGTCGTCACGTCCCGACGCCGGACTGCGCCGACAGTGGCCGAGGCCACCCGCCAACACGTAGGGCCGAACTTGGCAGCGGCGGTGTACACCGCCGAGCCTCGTCCTACCCACCTCCATGGGCTGCACCCCCAGCCCGGGCCAAGACCCCACGAGGAGGTCAAGGCCCTTCCCCCCCGTGACTAATTGCACCGGAATACACCGGTGGGCGATGGGGTCGTCACGTCCCGACGCCGGGAATGATGATTTCGCTTGTGGGATAGATGCCCTATGCAAATAATTAAAGATTATCTTAGATTTATTTATTTTTAATCAACAACTGTTACATTTTCATTTATAAGCATAATCATCTTTGGTTTAATATTGAAATTGAGATCAATTTTAGTATCTAATAATACAATATTAGTATAAACATTGAAAGTGGCAACTTCTGATACGTTTTAAATTTTAAATTTTTTCATTTTTTTCAAGGCGCAATTTTAATCGATTGCAAGGATTACAGTAATTACCGTACATGGTACAAGTTTCATGCAACCATTTTTTACACATGATGCACTGGATCCAGTCTGCCGTTGATTTTGTTTCCTCATAATTTTCAACACATTCCAGACATTCATTTGACGAATTTTCATTAGAGTCCGACTCAGAAGAAGCGATTGCCTTTCGTTCACTGGCGTTTCTGGTTATCCGTTGCTTTTTCTCAACAGCACGAATGGGACGTTGAATCACATTAGCACTTGAAGTTTCATTTATTTTTAATTTCTTAGCTCTCTTTACATTTTTCTGTTTTACGTCAACATGAGATTCATTTTCTTTGAAAGATTCATCAGAATCATTTGTACCAGATGAATCTGTCTCTTCGGAAGCTACTCTTGGCCTTTTTTTGTTATCTTCCTGGCAGGAATTCCATAACGACGAGATATTTCATTCAAGCCGTGCTTATTCTGCCTCATTTCTTCAAAAGCTTCTCTTAGGGCATCTTCCGTCCATCCAGCTCGAGGGCTTGCCCCTACTTTGCGCACGTACTTGCGAGGCATTATCTACAATACCTATAAAAATCGATAAAAGTTTAATAGGGGATAGATGCCTCTAAGGGCATCTATACTCACAAAAAACTAGGCATCTATCCTTTTTCGGGGGGATAGACGCCGCTCAAAATATTTATTTACTTTAATGATAAAACATACGTAAATAATAAACAAAATCTTTTATTTAACACATCTACACTTAAATAAAACAAAAATATAAACACTTACCTCATAAAATCAAAAGTTTCGAGCCCATCAAAATTTCAGACAAACCAAATTCACGAATTAACTGCCGCAAAAAATGTTCGTTGTCTCATAACTCTCGACACGTCCGTTCCAGCTAAGTGCGTGGCACTGACCGAAGGACGGGCGGGGGTAGGGTTACGTTAAAACAAAACACAACGGATCTAATGTTTATACATGTCGCTACGTGTTTACTGAGGCAACTATCCCACTGAGGCATCTATCCCACATTTACTGTAGTAGGTAGGAATCTAGCGTAGTAACATTGCCCAAACTGGCAACTTCTCAATACGCACGACTTTTATAATGGCGGCATATTGAATTATAAAGACACGTAGTCGGACTGTTATCAGTAAAAATAAACATTTTAAATGTACCTATGTTTAGTTTTGTTTTTTTAATTGATTAATTATTATATTTTAACAATTTATGTATTATTAATTTTTTATTAACAATCTATGTATTATTTTTTAAATGAGTCATTGTTACTAAATAATAATAATAATAATATTTATTTGCTCCGAATGCAGGTACAGAATATAGGTGTATATAATAGTATAAGTAATAGGTGTATATAATAGTATATACATAATAGTATAAGTTCCAGTACATTCTACCTTAAGGCATGCAAATGTTAGGCTTAAATTATAAATTCAAATTAACGATTATTTAAAATTAGAAATTAAAATTAAACAATGCAATTAATTATAAATTCATATTAATCAAAATTAACAATGATAGATAGATACATGATTAAGTTGTATATTTTATTTATTTTTTATTCATCAATTTATTACAATATTATGTTTCGTCCATTAGGTAATCATTAATTGAGTAATAACGTTTAACATTAACTTGAAAATAGAAATAAATAAATAAGTTAGCAATAACACTTAACCCGTCTCAAATGTATCGCTTACAAAGAAACGTGTCCCTGAGGTACCTATTCGCAAACAGTAATTAAAAAAAAAACTAAATTCATGTAACTACATATCTAAGCCACGTTTCAATAACATTTCAATTAAAATACAGAGAATTTGACAGGGGCCAAGTATTGAATGTGTGGTTGTGGGGCGGCAGCGCCTTTGAGTTCTGCCGACATGTCGCGACACTATGGCGACGCATCGCCGTTTTCGCGCGCTCGTGGTCACAAAATAAACAAATACTAGTTAATACAGAAGTTCTACTCACGGAAACCTGGGCTCCTCCTCAAAATGCATTAGCACATTCTCTTCCTGCCGCACTGAAATCACGGGTCGCGGGCTCATTGTTACGCATACTCACCAGGGCCCTCACAATTACATTAGAATTCCGCGGTTGGTGTGCATCTGAGAGGTATCTCAGCATACATCCTCAGAGCACGTGCGCCGTCATAATTACACTCAGCAGAAATAAACATTTACATACTCCTGCGCACTAAACTGATAACGCGGCATCTTTCACACGAGGAGGACGCAATATGTAGTAATGCGAAAATAATGGCCGTCAAATCCCGGTCAGCGCGTGAGATTACTACCGAATATAATTACCTATGCGGACGTTCGGGGGAAGGGGGCGGGGGGGGGGGGGGGGGGCGACACTTTAATATTGTAGATCAATCGATCAATCGTCATTCATAAATAAATTGCGACGATGCTGTTCGTCAACTATGCGTGTACGGGTGTTCCTTTTACGTGTCAATTTAACATTTCTATTGTTTTCTTTTAATTAAAAAAATAAAAGACATTTTGTTTTCGATTGGTAACATATTTTTTAGCATGTATGGATGTTATATTATTGCGGATTAACGGAAACGCACTCTGTGAGTTAACATACTTTGTAATCTGTATATACTTATACATATATATATATATATATATATATATATATATATATATATATATTAAAGTGTATTAATTTCATGCGTATTGGTATTATGAATAGTATTATATAAATTTATTTCTATTCTGATGAAGTAAGTATATCCCAAAAGAGAATAGATGTATATTTCTTAAAAGTATTTTCTACAAGGTCAGAAATCAGTGTGAACCTTTATATTACAATGATACAGATGAAAAAATATGTTTTAATATTATTAACAACTAAACCTTTTTATTTTTTGAACAACTTAAAGCATTACCTTAAGATACGACCTCAAGAATAACTTCGTAAAAGCAAAAAAAGTTGTCTTTCAAATATAATTTTAACATGCAACTTAAATAAATGCATGTTCTTATAATACAGTTATAATTTAATAAATTCTGTCACGAAAACAAAGTAATATACCTAAATAAAAATAACTAAAAAATATTCTAATTTAGAAGGAAAGGAGATCAAAAGTATTTCATACAATTCTGGGCCCTAAATGTAAAGACATGAAAAAAGTATCAATTAAAGGTTTAAAATTAAGAGTTACTTCATTGAAAATTCTATAGAAATTGACAATCAAATCGCTGAGTTATTGGAGGTTTAGTAAAAGTGAGGTTATATTGCATTATCTTTAAGAGTTAGATGAATACACGTAAAAGTATGTGAAAAATAATAATTTTATTTAGATGAGAATATCTGATAAGTTATAACAAGGCAAGAAAGACTCAAAGACACACAGATATAGGTAACAAGTATGGAATTCTACGAGGACCAGGAGGAGTAAACTATGTGATAAAAGTCATAAAATAAAACAATTTTAATGGAATATGTATTTTATTCCCTTCAATAATAATTACATACAATATCGTCTAGGAACTATGCAGGGGGTACAATGTTACTAGTTGCTATCCCACAATTAACACAGCGATCCATCGTTTCAGTAATATCCAATCCATAAGCCGGCGAAATAATCCAAATTAACAATTCCAAGTCAAACGTGCAGGCGATCGTCGGTGTCCAATGTGAAAGCAAGGGTCGTAAAACGTAGCCGGGTTCGGAGTCTGTAAAAAACAAAGCAGAGGTAGTTGAAAACGTAAAATGATCAGGAAAGCACTCGAAACTTATCAAAAACCACGAAACAAGTGAGACTCATAACAATTCATCTGGCATGGTAATTGTTAAGTGTCAATGTTATGTTGCCATAGACTATATACTGAATGATTTCGATCGATATGGAATCGATAATCGAAAAGAATGATTTAAATTAATATTTAATATTATTATTATATTAATACACGTTACTAAAAGTTATTTTTATTGAATTATAGACATATATGGTGTAGTTTAAATGAAGTTACTACATATAAGTTTAAAACTAATCAATGGCCTCATTCGTGCATCCTAAAAACAGTTATTTGCATATTTCTCCGCTTGTAGATTCAGAATTTATTCAGATTTTTGGAATTTCATACAAAAAAAAAATTAAATCAATTTTGAACTCATTACATACATTTTGGGCCCACCAATTTCCATCTCCTTTAATTATATTTGTTTAATTATTGCTTAAAATTTTAAATTTATTTAATATTTTTATTTCTTGCAAGTTGCGACGGACAAACTTCTTAATAAATTGTATATTATATCGAGGATGAGCGCTGCGTCTATTGTTTGCGTCGTCCCCGCACCTGTAGCCTAGGGATGCTCGATGAACATCGATGTTCGATGATCATCGATGTTGAAAGCAAAAACATCGCTGTTTTAACATCGATATTGCTATACGAAAAATATCGTAACATCGATGTTAACGGCATCTATCATCGATGTTAACTTACGGCCTCACGCACGACACGACCAATGCAACCTACGAAGTTACGAAACAAAATATGTATTTTACGAAGGCATCCACAAAACTTAAAAATGAGCAACATTAAAGCGAACAGTTCTATGGGACAGGATCTTAAGCAGAACATAATGACTGAAATCAGTAAACGTTTGTTACCCTCGGAACATGTTCAAATACTTGCTTTATCTACATTGCTAGACCCAAGATTCAAAAATATTCACTTTCAAGATCCCATAGCATGTTCGAAAGCAATCAAATTTGTCAAAGAATTACTAACTACTGTATTACGACGGAAACAGAAGTAATTGAAGAAGTTATGAGTCGTTCGCCAGATCCAACAGAACAATTTAATTTGTGGAGCGAACATTATAAAATTGTAAATGTCAAAAACTCTACGCCTTCCCCTCATGATCACGAAATGCCCTCCGAGTTAAGCTACTTTTTAAAAAATACAGTATCTGATCTTAAACAAGATCCTATCCAAGTTTGGAATAATGTCATTGGTTCCACTTACCCAAAATTAAAAATAATAGCGCTGAAATATTTAAGTACTATTGCGACATCAACGCCATCCGAAAGACTGTTTTCAAAAGCTGGCTCTACTCTTTATCAACAAAGAAATAGGTTAAAAGGTTCTTCTTTATCAAAGTTACTCTTCCTGCAGTCAGTTGATAAAAAATATTGGAATATGTAATTATTTGATCTCTTTTTTAATAAATTCCGAACTTTTACACTGTGTTTTATTTTTTGTCAGTTATTATTGCATAAATCATTGATGGTATCCAACATCGATATTCGGTTTTCGATAAATATCGAATATCGATGTCGGGCTTTCGATTATGACATCGATGTCAACATCGATGTTTTTCAGATATCGATCATCCCTACTGTAGCCCCGCTAGCCCCCGCTAGTCGCCGCTGGCCAGCTGAGCGGGCACTGCGCCGGGATCGTCAGTTCACATAGACCGTAGATGCGTAACGCTTGTCCGTCATCGCTACGGCGACACTCGCAGGCGCACCCTCGCTTACGAAAATTAATCTCCTTCTGTATTAATAGCTTGTAAGTAGTTTAAATTGTTAAACCGTAATTCGTTAAACACATAATGCCATTTGTGTTATATATTGTATATCTTAATAATATCTTTAATAGTGATAAGTATATTATAATTAGTCTGCCGACTTTATTAGTTTAATATCTCCGAAAAAGACTTACTGACTTGATGAAGGTAAAATTTACAATAAAATAATTATTTATTATTCGTTTGTAAAATGAGGTATATCTAATTATAATATTTCTTAGTAAGTATACATTCGTATTAAAAAAAGTAGATAGTAATATTAATAATTATTACTTAAAATAATGAATTCCAAAGATTTTTCTTGCAAGGATACACTTTTGTAGTATTATATAGATAGATATAAAAGTTATGTCCGTTTTATTATTGTCAATAGGAAATATTTTATTGCATTTCATTTGTTATTTTCTATAATATAATAAATTGTCTAGTGGTTCGACATGGAAATCGAGCAAGACGTAATATGTCAACGACGATCTGGCGGCAGGCTGCGCACAGACGGCAAGGAAGTAGACGACCGGCCTAACAAGGGGGTGAAACAGAGATTTGAGGTAAAGAAGAAGTCATTGTTAAGTGATACTTTACAGAAGACACAAGCTGGAATTGAAATTTTTGCAATAGATAGAAATAATAAAGTTGAAAAACAATACTTGGAGAAGGACCAATTCATACTTATTTCTTTTCAGTTTAAGAATTAGCCATTGTTAATTAGCTATACGTTTTACTCTAGAATAAAAGTCTTGTATTCTTCACAGGAGCTTCTTGCCCCTTCAACACACTTTACAGAATTTAATTCTTTCAATTACCGGTATAAAGTTCCCGATGATTTATTAAAAAAAGTACAAGACGCTTGAGTGAAAATTATCACTGAATTTTTTTTGTCCGTTCCTACCTAATTTTCGTGGCTGTTAAGTTATTATTTAAGTATTTATTTAATACTTTTTTTCTTCACTTAAAGGATCGATGATATCTAGGACAACTCTTTAGTTCGTCGAGGAAAACCAACAGCACATTTGGTCTACGGTGTTCCCTTGACCTTAAACTCCGCTGTTCAAGTAATGGTGGAGGCAATGAAAATAGACCTCGAGTTAGCACCAGATGCTTCGGTCTGATTATATTTATTAATGTAGCGTAGAATTAACAGAAGTAACTTAAAATATAAATTGTAGAACGAAATCCTTTCATAAAGTGTAGCTGAAAACTGTACAAAATTTTTATGATACAATAATGTAGACTACGTATAATAATTATGTGAATAAGATATGTATATTTTTTTACAGAAAGTCAAGGGATTCCCGGATCAAATACACGAAATGTGGCAGGGACAAGGCACTGAGATTTATTGGGAACAAAACTTTGCCCCACTGAGGATCATTGTGACGCTATCAGTCACGTGACATTCGAATAAATCATAATATGTCACAAATGCGTCAATATGACCTTACCTGGCGCCAGGGGTAGAGGAAGGCCCAAAAGACGTTGGCTTGATGTCGTGCAAGATGACATGCGTGCCAATGGACTCCACAAGAAGGATGCCGAAGACCGGGCTAAGTGGAGGAAACTGAGTGGGAAAGCGGACCCTGGGTTCTCCCGCCCTGGGCGGGACGAACAACCGGGACAAACGCTAGGGTGATGATTTTGGTTAACTTTACT